TACTAAATTATATAAATAAAATTTATATATGTAGCTGTTAAATAAAAAAATTTTGACCCGAATTAATATGTAGTTTGAGAATTTGCAAATCAAAAACCTGAAAAAAAAATGATCGTCATACGTTACCAAAAAAATCCGGTGACTTATGTCAGGGGAGTGTACTTTGCACGTTTTTAATAACTTTTTTAGCAAAGGATTTAATTTGATGATCCTTTAAGTAAAATAAAATTTCATTGAAAAAAAAAGGAAGTAAGCACGTACTGTACATACACATGTAAATAACCTTTATTCATGCAAGTTTTTAATTACCGGTATGTAATCGAAATTTTTTCATAGGCTGCATTTGTCTAATTACTATAAAAAGGTATTTTACAAAAATTTGAATGGAAAGCTACATATGTAAGAGGCATCAATGTCAATAGAAGTTTCCATTCATACTCCTGAATGCATGCTCTCTATATAGTTAAATATTAAATTCATTTTTCCATCTCTAATATATAAAAAAATAAAAACGGAATTAATTCAAAATGATGACAAATCAATTCTATTAAGTTGCATTGTTGAATACGGGGTCGTAGTACAATATACATAAAGAGAAAAAAAAAATTCGGTTATCAATGACAATTTTACCGTGTGTATAGTAATAGTAATAGTTTAATAAAATGGTAATTTAAATGCGGCAGTGCAGTTTCACCGCTGATCCGACATATGTGCCACAACGTGAGTGCAAAATGTATTTTTTTTTTTTAAATATAAACAAAAAATTTTTACAATGTTTCATATATTCTTTTTTTTTAAGCCTTTGATTAATAAAAATTTAATTTCTTGTTTTCCTTTTCCAAAATAAATTGTATAAAAATAGTTCGTTTCACAAATTATGACAATATAAAAATATACGTACACTACATCCGATCTTATTATGGTATTTTAGCTTGTTCAATAACAATGTTGTTATACATAAATATATATATAACAAATATATACAAGTATATGATCGAATTCTTTGAAATAACAAAGGATGTTAAAGTACAATCTATTAATTTATTTGATCGGAAACAAGTTACATTTACACATTTACACTTTACAATAAATTTATGATTGTGTCACTCCCTCCTAATTCACGGCGCTGTTTCAATGTTGTTGAATACATGTGAACCTTGATAGGTATTAACCAGCCGGTTAAGCGAAATTATGTATATATTTAATGTTTTAATAGATTAAGTTTATCTTTTTATAAATACCCCTGATTTTTTCTGTTGCACCCAAATTGTCGAACGTGTAAATACGTGTTAAACAATATAAAGTATAGATATCTGTTCTAATTCTGAAGCTTGAGTTTTCTTCACTCGCAAAGCGTGTCATTATACCTAGTGTCCATTTTTCAAGATCAATAAATTTTATCACGATAACCATGAAGAATGTTAATTTTGTAATATTTCTGTTCGCAACTCTTTGCATAATATTACCAACTTCTATTATAGCTGTGCTTCCTGGAACTTGGCCAGCATTAAATGTTCCTCCACCAGCAAATGCAAATTATACAAAACTTGTAGATACATCTAAACTTAGGAACGCTCCAGTTAATAAAGTAAATGCTACTTGTGCGGCTACTGATACCTACTGTTATTGGACTTGCGCCCTTTGTACTCGAAACGATACTGATGTTGTTCGTTGTCCTAACAAGTTAGGTATGATCAAAAACAAAAGAGAGAGAGAGAGAGAAAAAAAAGGTTGCTAAATTCTAATAATGCTTTTTTTTTAAAAAAAAATTAGATTGGGGTCTTACTTTAGATGATGGTCCAACGTAAGTTTGATAAAAAATATCATTATTTCGATAATAATAAAAATATTAACGCTTATGTTTTTTCTAGTTCGTTTACAACTTCAGTCTTGGACTATTTAGACACTCAAAATATCAAAGTCACTTTTTTTGTGATTGGATCTAATGTTTACCAAAACCCTGAAATCTTACAAAGGGCCTATAAAGCTGGTAAGTTATATTACCGTTATTTATTATAATTATAAATATGTATTTTATATATTAATTATTTAAAATAAATAGGTCATCAAATCGGTGTACATACTTGGTCACATACTTCTCTAACTACCCAAACCACCGAAACAGTCATTGCCGAACTTATGTATACTGCTGACGCTATAAAAGCTGCTCTTAATGTTACTCCTAAATATATGCGTCCTCCATTTGGAGATTACGATGATCGAATTCGTGATATTTCGACTCAACTTGGTATGAAACCGACAATTTGGGATTTAGACACTAACGATTGGTTGTCGGCCGATGATCCGACTTTCCAGATTTCCTGGGTCGTTGCTAACTTTACTCAATGGGTATCCGACCCAACTCTTGCCACTACTGGACATATCTCTCTCGAACACGATTTATATAATCAAACTGCTGCTCAAATTCCTTTGGTCGTGCCAATTCTTAAGAAAGCTAATTATACTATAAAGCCTGTTCATGAATGTGTTGGCGATACGCATCCTTATGTTGAAAATGTGACTTTGGCTGTTACGACAACTACAACTACAACTACAATTCCGACACCAACCCATATTGATCCTCCCCCATTTGAAGGTACTCCAACTCATGCTGATATCGTAACTAGTCCAACACAAACGCCAAAAACGTCCGATGCCACAAACATATTCAAGAACGATCTTTTATCTTCGTGTTTGGTCGTTATTTTATTATTCGGATTCTTATTCTATTAAACTAATAATTAATTAATTAATTAATTATATATAATTAATGTTTTGCGAACGTACGTGTGGACACACGTACGTACGAACTTTGTGTCTAGATTTTTAGCAATAATGATAAATTATTTAAAGTTTATTTATTTATAGAAAATAAATTACTGTATTCATATTTGTATAAATAAATTTCTAATATTATTTTTTTTTCCCATACTCATTAAAATAACTTTAAATTTGTAATGTTTGAAATTTATCTAGTTACGTACTGATAAAATTTTATTATTTTAATTTCTTTTTCTTTGTTTTTTTTTTTAGCATTTACTAATTTTGTCCAAAGTTTATTAAGTATCAATATCGAAATCAACATGCGTACGTAAATAATAATATTCAAGTCGGTGAGTTCGGAGCAAAAATTAGTAAATCCGTGTGTACGGAATAGGTACGACGTAAGTACGTAAGTACAGTTTTTATTGTAACGATAACTTGTTTATCGTTATCCGAAACTCCGATGATAAATCGAGTATTTGTTTATTGTTATCTGAAACTCCGATTAGGAAAATTAAGTATAAGACCTACGTATCTGGAAGCCGTATACTTATTATGCAATGAACAATACAATACAACATAACGTTAACTATAACCTTATTCGTATCCGAATTTACAAATATGACAACGTGACACTAATATTTGGTACAGGGGGAAAATTTTAGGAGTCAATGTACCTTGTGTAGAGAGGTTTGAACCTGTTTTGGTAATAAAAATATCCTGAGCTGGGTATGATCGAAAACGAAGTTTCCGCTTGTACACACACGTACGGATCAGGGTATTTTTACTAAATACCCCTTGTTCTTGATATAGTAATCATGGTATTTTTCCCATAAACCATAACTACAGAACTACTTTATATTGCTAGTTTCGATCAATTAATTTTTGCGATTAAGGAATCGCAATGCCACAATAAATAAAATCGAGGCTATGAAATAGTCGATTATTACGTACTGTACGTACTATTACGTATGCATGTACAAAGTTTTGTTAACCAAAATAAGCCTATGTAAATACGTAAATAAACGCGAAGCTAGAACATTCTCAATAAAAGGTACAAGTGGCAGTGTATAGAATTGCAGTAAAGGCTTAGTTGGGCTAGAGACAAACAGTAGATTTATTATTATTATTATTAAAATTCCAGATTCCGACCGAATCACCAAAATAATACCTCTGGTAAGAATCTTTAAAATAAGAGGTCAGCCATACCTTTCTAAACGCAACCCCTTCTAAATACGCATATAATCAAGCTTGGTCATAACGAGTTGCATTTAGGGAGGTTTAGCTGTATAATCTGTTGGTTGTAAGTCGTGTAATAACGATTTAGGAATTTACAGAAATGTAACTTTCTACCCTATGACAATAGCAGAAATGGAACTTTCTACCCTATGACAATAGCAGAAGATTATGGCGGTTTGCAAAAAGGTATAACCTTTGCAGATCATGATGTCATGTAAAATCACTGATTCTAGTAGATTTTTCGATTTTGGGAAAATTTTAAAGATTTCGAATAAAATTTAGATGTTATTGATTGAAAATTATGATCAATAGGGAATTAAAATCTTTAAAAAATTTTCCGATATCATCATCACGAAATCACAAGATCACACCTTTTTACAAATAGCCATAAATCAACCTAAAGAAATTATATTTCTGTTAAGATTTTCACACATGATGTACCATGAGAACAAAATAACTTACAGTTTAAGTTTGTCCTAAAAAATTTGAGCCCATCTTCAGAATATAATTAAAATTAATTTTTTCGAATAACAGTATATAAACCAACGACATTATTGGTTAAGTGTCATGCGATTTAGCAGTCATGATTTTTGGACGTAATTAAAAATGGCTGTCCGAAAGTTCTAAAATTCGATAATATCCTCCTGCTAACCTTAGTTTCAATGCATTGATTTTAGATCATAAAATTTTAATTGGTTGAGACCATTAAACGAGTATTTCAGTCTGATTTTTTATTCATGTGATATATACACTTTAAACGATCTTGAGCATCCGCTCAATTATCGAGTATTATTTACATTAAATTCAATTCGTACGTACGTACTGTACGTCGAATTATTTTTACAAACAATTTGACGTAATAAAATTTTTAAAAAACTTTCTCTAAAAATATTTACAATAGAACTTTCCTTCTGTCTTATGATTTAATTAATTGATTAACCGATTATGGATAAATTATTTGGTCAATAACTTAACTATTAGCATTAGCGATTTATATCTCTTATTTAAATATAAATATATATATATATATATTGTATCTAAAATATTTTTTATTTATCTAAAATATTTTTTATCAAAGATAGTTTATAAAACTATTTTAGCATCTGAAAATATTTTCTGCATTCGAAATTATTTGCTGATCTTAAATTATTTCCATCATTTAAAAAACTCTAATCGTTTTGTACTAACCGCTTAATCCAGCCGGTATAAGATAAATTTGGTTCATTATCAACATAGTTTGACCGAGCACTATTACTATGGAAAATTTTTATGCGGTTAAATGATTTAAACCTTGATATATATTTTTATTTATGACAAACATAAAACAATAATTTAGATACTTTCAGGTTTAAATTTATTTAAGTGTAATAATAGCTTTTATTTAGATGTTAGACCCGTTCATTAAAAGACGGGTTTGATTTTAGTTATTTTTACGATTAATAATCCGTAGAAGTGGGGGTTTCAAAATTAACAAATGAATGGCACATTTCTAAAATAAGTAGAATTCTTTCAATACGTAGCATTTTACTATATTGAATCATAAATCAGCAAAATAATTAGTAAGATTCCCTGATTTTAATTTTAAAATTTGCAACTTGCAAATCCTGCATGATGTGCAGGGATAGGGATTTCCTATCATTTCACTTCCCGAAAAATTTTCTTCTCCGGTACTTTCATTTCCCGACAGCCAATTCCCCGACAATTTCATTTCTTCGACACTTTCATTTCCCCGACATTTACATTTCCCCAACAATCGTTTCTACGATCATTGTCGTGAAATTTTTTGGGATAGAGGTAAAAAGATCTACAATTTCTTTTCATCTTAAAAAGTAAATCAGTAGTAGCGAATAAAATGTCAATCGAAATGCAAAATCAAGTGTGACGTAACAAATTATTGAATAACCATTCAAATTGCTCTTTATGGTTAGGGAAGAGCCGTTTATTATAAATTTCTTTTCATTAGTATTAGGTATAGACCTGATAAGTTGCTAACCCCGTCCCCCTTAAAATTACGCAATAAACGGTGCTTCCCGCAGCCACTTGTTTTGCGCGGGTAATACAACCCTCTAAAAAGGAAATGGCCAATCAGAGAACAGAGATTTTGGGTATTTCGGATCAGCCTGACAGAGTGCGAAAAAAGAAAAAAAGAAAAGAAAGCGAATATACTCAAAAACTAGTGTTTAAATTAGTGATTTGAACCGAGAAGAATTCTTTAATCAGTTAGGCCACGCAAAGTTAATTTTTCGTTTTGCATTACATGGATTTCAAATCAACGGTCGGTCGGTCGGATTTTTTTTTAATATTGTATACAGTATTTAATAGACTATATTCATATTTAAGGCTACGCATATTTAATTTTTCGCTTTGCATAACATGGAATCAGAAATCTGGGTCGGCAATCGAATTTTTTTTATCAGTTATATCGGATAATTCCAGAAAATAATGTCTCTATCGGGTGATATCGGATCGATTTATGGAAAAAAATTAAATGCCAAAAATAGAACAATTGGCACAATTGGAACTAAAAAAAAAAAAATTTTTTTAAAAAAAATGGGTCGGCGGGTAGTGCAAGACATCATCACGCAAAACCAGGAACGGAAAACACAATTTTATATTTAACATTAATAACCGGAATCTTAAAAATGTGCTTTTATTTATTGCCTAAATTAATACAATATAAAATAAAATATATATTAGTATGGTAGCTAGCAGTATTAGAAAAATCTGAAAAGGCCAGAATTAGATGAATTTAAAGTATTTTAATAACCCATTAGTATAAGCTTTATGGTTATAAGTTATTAGAAGCAGTAAAATCTATTTGTGGTCACTTTTTACAATTAAATTTATCATATTATTGCACATATCATATTAAGTCAGAATGACGTGACGAAGCATACCTTTCAATGCTAACAACAATCGCGAAAATAGTCGCTGTAAGTGATATTTCCTTAACAATGAATATTCGGAGCAATTCTCAATTTATGCAATTGCCATTATATGATAATAATTTTAATTTCCACCGATTGAAAACGACTCAACTCATTACTAACGGTAATGAGACATAATTAAACTAATAATAAGTAATTGATTTTTACACGGATAAATGTCACGGTTTCGAATTATGGTTGCCATAAAGTGTACTAGGTTATGAACGTCTCAATATAAATGTAAGGCTATCGACTTTAACGACAAAAAATGAGAGAACTAAGCTTTTTTTTTCTTTATGTTAAAAAATCAGTATGGGTGTATAATTTTCGATACCATTTACTAATTTAAGTTAATATCGTTTACATAATGATAACGAATCGTAATCTATATTAAGTAAATGATTATTAATGTTAACCTTAAAAATGAGGACCAACAAAAATGGAAAGTGGCTCATTACGAACAAAATTAAAGTAGAAAAGTCCAAGAAAACACTCAAGATAGGTATACATAAATCAGCATTCGTACTAGTAATATGCACGCCTGCTACATATAGGTGTAGAAGCACCATGATTAAATTAGGAAAGATCGAATCACATATCGATATACGTAGGTGGAAAAGCCCCATGAGTAAATTAGGAAGAATTTGAACCACATATAGGTAGAAAAGCCCCATACTAATAAACATATAATATAAATAGAGGCTTATGACATCACTTAGTCACGTCATATATATATATAAACGTTTTATAAACCAATTTTGCAGAAAGAAGTAATCCATATGACGGATAAAAAAAAAAATTCAATCAAAAGCACGGATTTGTACAGAAACACTTCACACGCCGCTTAACCATGCACTCCGTTCCTGGTATAATCAAGTTGCACATTAAAATTAAATTATCGTTATCGACTTCAATAAATTTATTTAATTTCTATAAGCGGTTTTTGGATTTCTTGCGCCGTACGTACGTCTATACCGTGTTACATTCATACTTTAAGTAGCATTACATTATAAAACCTGTTTAAAGCTGCATAGGAATTTTCTAAATAGTGTAAGAAAAAAAAAAGCAGGATTTATAAAATTTTTTCAAGTTTCAAAAATTTGTCTCCCTGGAAAAGTGTTTAACTTTCGCTCATGTACCATGATGCTTGTAAATGTACCTAGAAGGGTGTTAACTACAAAAACCCTGAATCTAAATAAAATAAATAATTTTATAAGCTTGAAAAATTCAAGATTTATTCAGAATGCGTCCTTTAAATATCTGGATGATATTCCTGTAAAGAAGGGTATTTATCGCCCGCAAAATACTAATCAAGTTGTTGAGTTGGTTAATTATGCTCGTTCCAAAGGTGCAATATTACGTGTTATGGGTGCTGGGCATTCGGTTAAGGAAGCTATTTATGCTAAAAACAGTAACCATAACCATATCAATGCAATCCTAGATGGTGATCTTAGGAAAGTTCATCAAATAAAGATCAACGAAAATGGTGAGACTGCATCTGTCGATGTAGGAGCAGGATGCCATTTAGGAAGAGACCCTAGTGACGATGAGTCAACCCTTAAAAATTCTTTCAATTTTCAAGTTGATGAAAAGGGATATGCACTTCCTATTTTAGGTGGTATGAGCCATCAAACCATAGCCGGTTTTCTTTCAACTTCTACCGCAGGAGGGTCTTTGAAACATACTATTGCAGATGTTTTAGAAGAAATAGAGGTTGTAAATGGAAAGGGTGAAGTTGTTACCCTAAATAAACATACAAACGAAAACGTTTTTAATGCTTCAGTAGTATCCATGGGATTATTTGGGATCATTACTAGAGCAAGGTTTAAATTACCTGAAAAATATTTAGTAACGGGAACAGAAATTAATCAAGTATTCAAACATTCTTTATTGGTAAGTGAGGATGGCCATTACGCAAAATTGCACGATGCTCTAACAGAAAATGAATACTTTCACATGAATTGGTTTCCACAAAAATATGTTCAACGTACTACAGAATGGAGCGGAGCAAAGGCTGGGTCTGGATTAGATATGAAGCCATATAATCATACATTAAAAGTATTTAAAATGGATGTTAAAGCATATTTAGCCCTTTGTTTTTGTAACATTTTTTTGAATATATTTGGTGGAGATAAGAATTTTACCCAAACAATAATCGGAAAGGTTCTTAACCAATTTGTTCCAATCGGAAAACCACAAGAATTTACAGATCTTTGGTATAATGCTTTACCCAATGATGATCAAGCTGATGTTGATTATTTAATAAAGACTTCATTCACTGAAATTTGGTTTCCATTAGAACAAATTGATGAGGTCATGACAAAATTAGAAAAGTTATTTAGTGATCATCCCTCGTATGCTGGTAACTTTGCGTTAGAGCTCTATGGCGCTAAACGTTCTCCTTATTGGTTAAGCCCATCATATGAACATGATGTTTTTAGAGTAGATCCTTATTGGTGGGAGCACAACTTTGGAGACCCTCGTGAATATTTTGAAAAATTTTGGAACATATTACTACCAATAAATGGCGCTAGGTTACATTGGGGAAAATATTTGCCAGAACCTGGTAAGACATATGGAGGATGCACATTTGATATTAATTACCTACGAAAAAGTTATCCCATGCTGAATGATTGGTTAAAGCTACGAAATGAAATGGATCCAGACCAGATATTTGTAACTGACTATTGGCGAAAAATATTTAACATCAAACCAATAAACAGTAATTAACTATGCAATTTATTATAGTTACCGTTATATTATTGGTTAATCATTCGATCACATGAAATTCTCATATTTTGGTATGAGGTCTTTCAACTATTTTCATTTGATTAATATACGTAGTGTTGAATCTGTTTAGTTATCCATCTTGAAAATTGCTTAGGTAGTGAAAGCATTGTTTTTTCTAGTTACAATGTAATGTTTTATTTATAACATTATCATAGGATCATGATTGAGAATTATTTATTATTACAAAGTGAGTTCTTACAAAAATGGTCTTTTAAACTTTGAAACTATAATAAAGTGTAAAGAATATTGTAGTCAATTGACTCAGAAAAATATTATTAATCGATGATTGATTGAAAAAAAATTTATTTGATCGATTAAAATTCAATTATATGCCCTTTATTGAGTATATTCCTTCAAGAAGTTCCATCTCGCATGATTTTTTATAATATTCAAAAGCTTTATTCAGATTCTTTTCGATTCCACATCCGAAATGATAGCAATAGCCAACCTGCTTTTTGAAAATATATAAAAGCAATCTTCCCTATAAAAAAGGATTGTATAAAATTTGTCTAAAATCTGTGTTACATGTGTGTAAAAAAGCGCCATTCTGTCTATTTTTTGTCTAACTTTTGTCTTAATTGAAATAAACAAAAATTGGACAGAATGGCACCTTTTAAGAAATTTTTCACATGCATAACACAAATTTTAGACAGATTTTGTACATTCCTTTTATATAGGCTTTTTAACCCCTAAATTGTAGTCCTTATATTATAGTACTCAAGGAACTTCCATTTTAGCTTTTAAAAATTTATGTATCAAAAATTTTATAAAATTTAAATACGCTTTATTATCATAAACGAAATGAATTTCTACTACGTAGTGCTGTTACACTCAAACTATAGTTGTTAGACGAAACCTTTTTTGCTTGGTGACGAAAGACGAAACCTAAGCCCCAAAATGACGAAACCTCTGACGAAAGGCGAAACCTCTGACGAAAGGCGAAACCTCAAATTCTACTGACGAAAGACGAAACCTTAGTGCTAAAAAAAATTCCTTTGGTGCTCCCGCTAAAAAAAAAAAAAAAATTGATGAAACTTTATGATAATAGTGAATCCCTACTTCTCTCGCTAAAAAATTACTAGTGAAATTTTGGTCTAGA